TATCCCTTTAAGCAAAAAACTTCCATCACTTTTACAAATACACGGCACTGAGAAAACTACTCGTCCTTACTAAACGGCACCAAGTGTAACAGGGACTATGTAAAGAACGAGTACCAGTATTCACACAAAATAAATTTTGTGTTTTCTTTCCTCCTTGTTTTTCATTACCTGCATGAAATATAGTTTTGGTTTTCCTGCCAGTGTGCCACATTTTGCAGTTTGGAAGGGTTTAAACAATTCCTTTATATGGTAAGTACCATCAGAGGCATAAATGTGATTGTCATTGTAACCATGTGTTGATACAATAATCGCTAAAGAACCTCTCTCGGAATGATCTTCTTGGCTTACTAGAAATAAACAAACCAAAACCAAACTTGAAATTTTGCTTGGGCCACAGAGTGAATTCAAATCATAGAAAACATAATAAACAATAGAACATACAGTGAAACCTCGGTAGTTAGATCCCCTTATAGAGTAACTTCTCTGAGGACACAAGTCAATTTTGTCATTACAGTGTACATGGCTATAAATAATACCTGGATATAAAATAATGACACCTTGGTCTCAAGCTATTCTTACTATCCAGGTTTCACTGTATTTTGTACTCACCAGCTTCAAGATGATCTATAATTTCTTTCTTTTCCATGTCTTTCAATGTTCTCACATCAAAGCCCAAGTTCTTGAAGCATTTTACTGACAATTTAATGTCTGCATCACAACATTTACGAATAGGAAGCCCAGGAATCTACATAGAATTTTGTGTGAAAAAATCTTTTAAAAACATTTGAACTGAATGAGGATATCAATTCTTGCCTGATATGTCTCATTGGCAATTATTAGGGCAAGCCCTTTTGGTCGAAAGTCCATATTATATTTCTGGTGTTCTTTTATACTGCAAGAAAGAAGAGCCAAATAGCAAAAAAATTAAAAATAAACTCAAGATAAAATTAAGAGGACAAATGAGCATGAAAAAAACGACATACTGTAGTGGAAAAATTGAGTCATTTTCAGAAGAATCATCTGATTCATCCTCCTCAGGAAAAGGAGGTACTTTTCTTTCCGCGTCAATTTCATTAGGTGAGAAAACAAGGGAAGAGGGAGGCGGGAAGGGGTCAGGAGGTTGGGAAGAGGTAGAGCTAGGGGATGAAATGTTTGAGTCAGACTGCTTCTGGACCATGTCATCATCTAGGTCATTACTTAGGCTATAATTAGATGACGGTGGATGAATAAGAGAAAACGGCTGATTCCCCTTTGCCAACACAGATGAACTGCCGTTCAGTTTTTCTTTCTCACCCAAAACTTTAAGTTCCTTCAAAAGTATCTGGTATTTCATTTCATCAGGAATATTCATCTCTTCTATGTCAATCTTCATGGACCCCAAGGTCTCTGGTAGAGCCATTAACAGAAAACAAACCTTCATCCCATCATTGAACTTTTCTATTGCAGACAATTGTGATGTTAACTCAATAAATTGCTCAAGATTTTCATTAATAGAGCCCTGAATAAGCTTAAGAGTAGTAAGCTGTTTTAACAGTTTTACTTTGACTGTTGTATTTGACTTGGATTTATCATCTGTGAGAAAAAAAGGATAATCAAGTAAATTACACTAGTATAAAGATAAGAAAACAGAATAGACTACATAACACATCTTGACATAAGAAGGACTCTAACCAGATAGGTCATCTTTGAGAGTCGATAACTCAGAGTGATGTGTTTTCCGTGTTAATTTCACAATTCTTGTCAGTTGGCATATAATGTATGGATTTTCAGAAACAAGTTGTTTAGCAATTGAGAGGATAGCGAGAATATCGCATACAGAACCATTTCCTTCCAACTCCTTGCAAAAAGCTTGCATGAACCTTGAATCTTTGGAGATTAAAAACAGTTATTAGAATTAACAAACAAAATTCTAAAAAAGTATGAATAAAACAATGTAAACTCTTACCAATACACGTGCAATAAGCAATCAGAAAATCTGAGTGAACCGGAATTTTGTAAGAAAGGAAAACAGAGTCAGGCTCTGTTTTCCATGGATTAGCAGCATTGGAATTGTCAACTGGGCATGCCTAAAAATTCATGAAGAAATCCTCAAATTAAAATCAAAATGTAAGCTCTACTGCTACAGTAAAATCAAAAAATTAAAAGAATTAACACATGTTACATAAGGAAGAAGAAATTATTCAGAGAAATTAAAATCACACACCTGAATGAAAAATAGTTTGGGTTTGGCAGCCAGAGTGGGGCACTTGTCTGCAGCAAATGGTTTCCAGAGGTTTACAGGATTATAGGTGCAATTTTTGGCATAAACATTCCCCTTCTGTCCATAAGAGAGCACTGCCACAACAATACCATCTCTATCTTTATGGTTTTCCTTGGCGACTGTGAAATAGTGAAACATATTACAATTCAGAAAAGAACACACTACAGGTAAAAGATTTCAGAACACAGAAAATGACATGAAATATTTCCAATTTAACCTTTGTTAATAACTTCAATGATTTGAATATGTGTGAGGTCAGAATGAACTTGAACTTTAAAGCTGTAGATTTCCAGGACTTGTTTTAACTTTTTACAGTCCTCTGATCCACCAGAGCGGGATTTTAATTTGAGATTAGGCTGCACCAAAAGAACATGTTTAAACATTCAAACAAACATGACAGAGAGGCACGACACACAGAAAATTATGAAGAATACCTCAAAATTCTCATGGTTGAAGATCAAAGCAAGCCCACGCTCTTTGTGTTCCATGTTGTAGTAATCAGCATCTTTTTCAACTGGAATTGGAGCAGATAGTGGCGGTGGTCTTAGTGCACTTTGTAATTGACCATCATTTGATGCCATTTCTTCTGGGTAGAAAATTACGATAACTAAGCGAAACACGGGAAAAGTTTTTAAATGCACTACCAGCCTCAGGTCCGACTTGTCAAAGCACAGGCAACATAGGATTTTATAGGAGGGTAAAAGTTGGACATAAGTCTGGTCTGACCAAAGTCCCAGTTAAACTGATCTGAACTGAAACAAAGGACCACCTGTAAACGGTACCCGGCGACCAGCCGTTTCAGCAAGAAAAGGGACAGTTCCCGTATGGCACACTTCCCGGACTCCCCCGAACGTATTGAGATAGTCAGGCGCTCTGTATCCAATCGTTTTTTTCCCTCCTCCACTCAGTTGAAGCCAGAACCGATATGAGCTAACCGAGCAGGTGCATGTGTCATTACAGATTCTGCCGAACTTCACAGCTAAGCTACAGCTGATTCCCCCCCCCCCCCCCTCTCCTCCCGGTCCTGTGACCCCTGTGGTGCTCCGTCCGCACAAAGTACCAAGTACCTGGAAAAACCTGAGGGC